GGTCTATTAAATGGCGACACGTGTTAGTAAAGTTGAAGAAAAGTGAAGAATGACATGTAAAGATGGTATGTGAAACACCCCCGGGACCAAATATACTCGTACCGTGCATGTTAGCCTCGGAACTGATCATCGTGAAATAGCCCGGATCAGATGCGGGAGAATATCTCATAATTACAAATGAGGAAGGAATCAATTAATCCCGGATTATATGGGATTTACCATCATTACATCATCAGTTACAAATCAATTATTAATAAATGCAATAAATGATTGTAACGGTCAGAACAAGGCAATGAACAGGCACGAGATTGACTCAACAGACACGAGATTGACTAAACAGGCACGAGATTGACTCAACAGGCACGGGATTGACTCATCAGTTACGAAATTAACTTATTAGTTATGGAATTAACTCATCAATTACGGAATTAACTCATCAGTTTTGGAATTTCAGCATTTACACAGCTGTTACAAGTCTTCCAAAAGTAATGGATGGATTGAGTAAATGCTCATAATGGACCCATAATTCAAGGAGACTAGTTACTTAGATTTAGCCCTATAAATAGACATACTTTTACCACTATCAGGGCAATCTAATTTTCTTCTCTACAATTCTATACATTGTAATTTATAGCATATTGCTCTCAAGTTAGCCATAGTTCGGCCCTTCAAGCTCTGTTTGGCTCATTATCCTATTAAGGATCATTCAATAAGAATTCTTTTTTCTCTGCTTTATTTTTATCATATTATCTGTCATTGAATTTATTTTTTCACTTCTCTATCACGTTGTATTAACAAAATTTTATATCTTTCGGATTGAATCGGTTGTTTGTGGCCCGTCATATAAAATTATTGCTTTGGCCTTGAAAACTATTTTTTGGGTTAAACAAAAACCTTTTAGGATATCCTTTTATCCAATGTTGTTCTCATTAAAAATTGTCCAGTAAATTGGAATTAATATTTTTCTAATAGTAAATTTTCCCAAAACCGACAAAGAAATGACTTTTTTGTATCCAATCTTTAGCTTGATAATGTATATCACTCTCTTCTTTTGCTTTTTGTTTTTTATTTCTTGTGGTTCTCTGGTTCTCCTAAATCACCATTTAATATAACCATGTTTATTTCTCATCCAATTATTTTTTCCTTGTTTGGTGATGGACATTGGTATTATGATAAGGAGGAAGAAGAGGTCAGTACGAGGCCGCCCGAGGATTAGGTGGGGCGCCTTGACTAAGGATAAAGCTCAGGAGTTGGAAGAAAAGTTATCGGCAATGGGAGCTTGGAGGAGTAGTGGGGACGCAAACACTATGTGGTCGATGACGGACTGTATAAGGAAGGCGGCGAGAGAGGTTTTAGGGATATCTTCGGGCCGCACTGGTGGCCACATAGGAGACTGGTGGTGGAATGCAGTTGTCCAAGGTAAAGTGGAAGCAAAGAATGCGGCTTACCTGCGGTTAGTAGGGAGCACTGGCCAGGAGGAGAAGAGAGCGAACCGTGACAGGTATAAAGAAGCTAGGAAGGAGGTGAAGATGGCAGTAACGGAGGCTAAGACGACAGCTTTTGCTCGTCTATATGAGGAACTAGGGAATAAAGGCGGGGAGAAGAAGTTATTCCGACTTGCTAAGGTGAGAGAGAGGACTGCTCGAGATCTGGACCAAGTAAGGTGCATAAAAGATGATGACGACAAAGTTTTGATGGGGGATGACCAGACTAAGAGGAGATGTCATACCTACTTTCATAAACTTCTAAATGAAAAAGGGGATCATGATAATGTACTAGGTGAATTGAGGAATGCCGACAGTCCCCATGAATTAAGTTATTGTAGGGACATTGAGGTCGATGAGATCATGGAGGCAATGCGTAAGATGAGAAGGGGCAGAGCTACCGGGCCAGACGAAATTCCGGTTGAACTTTGGAGGTGTGTGGGTAGAGCAGGCTTGGAATGGCTTACTGGGTTGTTTAATGTTATATTCAAGACTATTAGGATGCCTGAAGAGTAGAGGTGGAGTGCAATGGTTCCGTTTTATAAGAACAAAGGAAATATCCAGAGCTGTAACAACTGTAGGGGTATCAAATTACTGAGTCCTACCATGAAAGTCTGGGAAAGAGTAGTAGAAATGAGAGTGCGAAGGATGGTGTCTATTTCAGACAACCAGTTCGAGTTCATGCCGGGGCGATCTACCACAGAAGCTATCCACCTTATTAGGAGGATGGTGGAACAATACAGGGATAAGAAGAAGGATCTCCACATGGTGTTTATTGATCTAGAGAAAACGTACGACAGGGTTCCTAGGGAGGTCTTATGGAGCTGCTTAGAGGTTAAAGGGGTCTCGGTTGCCTACATTATGGTGACTAAAGACATGTATAATGGATCTAAGACTCGATTTAGTACAGTAGAAGGTGACTCCGAACATTTTCCAGTTGTTACGGGGTTGCACCAAGGGTCTGCGTTTAGCCCTTTCCTATTTGCCCTGGTGATGGATGCACTAACTCATCATATTCAAGGGGAGGTGCCATAGTGCATGCTATTTGCTGATGACATAGTTCTAATTGACGAGACACAAGGCGGTGTCAACGAGAGGCTAGAGGTTTGGAGACATGCCCTTGAGTCTAAAGGTTTCAGGTTGAGCAGGACGAAGACGGAATACCTCGAGTGCAAATTTGGGTCCGAGCCGACAGAAGCGGGAGTGGAAGTGAGGCTTGACTCTCAAGTCATTCCTAAGAGGGGTAGTTTCAAGTACCTTGGGTCAGTTATTTAGGGGATCAGAGAGATCGACGAGGATGTCAGACACCGTATATGGGTGAGGTGGATAAAGTGGAGGTTAGCGTCGAGAGTCTTGTATGACAAGAAAGTGCCACCGTTACTAAAAGGTAAGTTTTATAGAGCAGTGGTTAGGCTAGCCATGTTGCATGGGACCGAGTGTTGGCCGGTTAAGAACTCACACATCCAGAAGATGAAAGTATCAGAGATGAGAATATTGAGGTGGATGTGCGGGCATACAAGGATAGATAAGATTAGGAATGAAGATATTCGAGAGAAGGTGGGCGTTGCCCCCATGGAGGACAGGATGCGGGAAGCAAGACTTAGATGGTTCGGGCACATTTAGAGGAGGAGCACTGATACACCGGTGAGGAGGTGTGAGCTACTAGCTGTGGTGGGTACGAGGAAAGGTAGAGGGAAACCTAAGAAGTATTGGAGAGAGGTGATCAGGCAGGACATGGCGCGACTTAGGATTACTGAGAACATGGCCCTGGACAGGGAATTGTAGAGGTCGAGCATTAAGGTTGTAGGTTAGGGGAAAGTTGTGAATATTTCTACAACGCACTAGAGTGAGACTAGCCAGTTAGGAGTTAGTCTTAGGATGCTACTGGTCAGCTACTGATGCAGGGCTTTATCTGCTGGATATTATTATACATTCCATCTTTTTCGTATTTCCTATATTTCTTATATTGTTGTTATTTTGTTACTTTATGTTATTTTATGTTATTTTATTATGAGTCTATTGATAGTACTAATATATCTTCTCGTGTTGCTTTCTTGAGCCGAGAGTCTTCTGGAAACAACCTCTCTGCCCCTCGAGATAAGGGTAAGGTCTGCGTACATATTACCCTCCTCAGACATCACTTGTAAAATTATACTGGACCGTTATTATTGTTGTTGTTGTTGTCGTCGTCGTCGTTCAAAAGACTTTTGTAATTCATATGCTTGAAAATATTCTGATGTAGATAGTTGGATTTTGTTCCGTAACTAACTTAGGGGTCATATACTCATTAACTAATAATTAAGGTGATAAACAAGATTTGAATTTCCACTAATAGAAATAGAGGAAAGAGTATAAAAAAAGAGGAATAAGGACGGCTCTTGTATTGTATGGGTGGAGTGGCCTTTCAAGTGCCATGTGCCTTAAATTACGGCAACCCGGTGTACAAAATATTCCGTATTCACGGAGAAAGGTCATGTCCTAAGAGGTGTGATATAAACAGTCTACCCTAATGCAAGTATTAATGATTGTTTTCACGACTCGAACTCATAACTTGTAGGTCGTATGGAGATAATTTTATCTTTAATCCAAAGCTCTCGTTCGTGTCTCAAATTACTCATTAAGATAAATATTTCTACTTATATTATTACTAAAAATTGGTTTGGCAAGAAAGATTTTTAGTTTCTTTTCTCAAACTGGATCGACATAATTGGAGCAAGAGTCATTTTCAAAGTCTAAGTTGGAAGAAATGAGAAACCAAGAAAGGCCATCATACTTCTTTGTTGGGTCTGTTTTCTGCAAAGTACCAAATGTATGAGCTGTATCTTTCCTCCCATGTCTTCCCAGTTTAACTTTATAACATTATGATAAGCTATTGTACCTCAATCAATAAACTATCATTACAATTTACAACAACAATTAGGCCTTAAATCCAAATAAATTGAAGTCAGCTATATGAATTATCGCGGTGCATGTCGCTTTATTTATGCAACCTAATCAATTAGATAAACTAAGAAAATGATAAAAATGATTCAGTGACGCCAACAGGCATTTCTGTTATCTTCATCTTACAAACTCAAAACAAGTGAATTATGAAAAGAGAGAAACTCAGAGCAAGAAAGAAAAGGGCAGACAAGTATAGTAAGCTCACGTTATGTGTGGGGTCCGTGGAATGACCAAACCACAAGGGCCAGAGGCGGATCCAGGATTTAATGTTTATGGGTTCCTGCAGCGACTTCGAGTAAATTTTCAATAGTAACTGGGTTCACATTTAAATATTTGTAGATATTTAATGAATTTTTAGAACACATTTACACTGTTTAGACAAAAGTTACTGGGTTCACGGGAACCCGTATATGACATGCTAGATCCGCCCCTGACAAGGGCACATCGTACGTAGCCTTACCATGCATCTCTGCAAGTGGCTATTTCCACCGATCGAACCCATGACCTCCTGATCACATGGTAGCAACTTTACCAGTTACGCCAAGACATTAATAAGAAAGGAAAGAAAATGCATTAATAAGAAGCAACAAGCAGTGTCCTTTATAATCAAACCAATACTTAAATAACTTGAGAAACTAATAAAGAACATTTTCAATTTCAGTCCCTTGGCATCTATTATTTATGCCAACCATTTGATCTAATAATTGGTAATATCATCAAGAGTAGTTTTCCACCACATAAAGGTCATACTTCAGAGGAAGAATTTCATGAAGTGATATTCCATCAGTTGGAAAACTCTCCATTATTTTGCTTAAGTAAGAATAACACATATAACATCACTAAGAGAATCTTATTAATATACTAACTTTGTGCTGTTTCTTTTCATGTGAGTCCACAGGTTCATTAGCTCAATACTGCTGAATGGTTTGACAAGATAATCTGTTGCTCCAAGCACCAAACCTTTCAAGACGAGAGGGACCTCGTCCTCGTCCAACATCACTTCCACAGCAGAATGGGAGACGAAAAGAAAAGATACATTAGGCGTCGTGAAAGCTTGTAAACGATTTCTACTATTTCAGATTAGAAACAGAATGAAGGAAAAAGAGCTTACTGATCACAGGAATGTGTTTTAAATTGATGTCCAGCTTGATGAAATTGAAAATCTTCGCCCCATTGGAAATAAGAAGAGAGGCTTCAGCAAGTATGATATCTATACACGGCCCCCGAGAGTTCAGTGCATCTAACGCGTCTACTGCTGAAGACACTGGTATAACTGCGCAGCAAGAAGAAGAACAAAAGGTGACAAATCTCAATATATTAGAGAAGCAAAAAGAAAGAAAAATGAGGCATTTACATATCGTCATTGAATTAATTAGAGTTAAGAGTCTTTTGATTCAAGAAGTTACAATCATGCATTTATATGACATCTTCCTCTCAAGTTTTAAGAGATTTTTCCAAGTGTTATAGCTGGCCTAATTGCTGTTAAATTATGTTACTTATCTACTGACAAGTTTTCCTAAATGGAAACACAGGGCAGCAATCGTCTTTCTTGATTGTGCGCTTAGGATTTAAACAGGAAATGCCTCTGTTCCCATTGGGGAATCAATTTGGTTAATTGTATATTAATTATGCAGACAGAATATATCCATAAACTGACAGAATATGAACAACTTGACTAATTAGTCTGGTAACTATCTGTCTCAGTGTTATCTCACTTAACTTGTTATGATAGGAAGTATCTTACCTAATCTAATAATTTCCCAAAATGGAAAGTATAACTGAGTGATTTAGAAAGTAATGTTGGAAACCATAATAAGGCATATCATACCTAATCTAATACTTCCCTAAAACAGAAACCTAATTAAGGAGCATCATACCTAATCTAATACTTCCCCAGAAATGGAAAATATAACAGAATGGTTTTGAAAGTAATGTCGGAAACCACAATAATAAGGTATACTATATAAATTATGCATTACTACAATATAGGGTGCCAATGCTAAGTTTTCCAACATATAGAATAAGGTATCGCGGAGGAGATATTACCCTGGTAACAACATTTCTTAAGAAGGGCTAATACTTCCTGGCAACTCTCAGCATCTGTATCGCAAAGCAGAACCCTCACATTGCTCAAATCCATCAGATCATTGCTCATAAGATGATCACGGTTACTACAATTTCCACGTAAAATAATGCTCTCACTCTTGTCCATAGATACTATATAAAAGTAGTTTGGAAGAAATAATAACAATATAGTTTGGCAATGAGGACTCTCAATATTCTAGCAAAGCTGTGTTTGTTATATACATGAGCTATAGCCAACAAGGAGTTTGGTTTACCAAATTTTTAAAGCTGACCTAACTTTTAGATGGATATATACGTTTGTCCCTTGTACTTCATTGGAAGAATGAAAGGCTTAGTTCCAATTAGCAGAAATGAAGACTAAAGCGGTTTTGCTAATTCCATTTTCGGATTGTATAGCTGCAGTTTCAATTGGAGTAAACTCAACTAATAATATCCCTTCTGTTTGATTCCTCTTCCTTTTCATTCCATATTCCTGAGATCAAATCTGATGAATACAAAGAAGAATCCTCGTACTCTCGGCCACTGATGTTCATACTCATCGCTTCTCAAAGGCACTCAAGCTTTTCTAAAGGGATTGAGGGGGATGACTATATATGCAGCCCGTGCACTAAGCTCCCGCTATGCGCGGGGTCAGAGGAAGGGCCGGACCGCAAGGGTCCATTGTACGCAGTCTTACCCTGTATTTCTGCAAGAGGCTGTTTCCACATCTCGAACCCGTGACCTCCTAGTCACATGGCAACAACTTTACCAGTTACGCCAAGGCTCCCATTCAAGACTATATATGCAGCTAAATAGCAAATAAGTTGGGAGATTGCTGATCAGAAAGAACAGAGGTTACATTCTAGTTATTAGGATTGCTATAATCACACTGGGAAAAGTTTGGCCAGCTTCTCATTGCCCACAGTATTTACACAATGGGACCATTTTGGAAGCATCACATCATCACATGTGATGATAGGAAGGAGAAGGTTAGTCGGTTTTCGTTCTGAAAGCATATATTACTTGTTGTCACCAAACAAAAACAAAGCAAATCAAAAGATAGCTAACAATCTATCATTTTGCATCAGATTCACGTGTTGCAGAAAATCAAATACTTATCATCTTTGGATCACCTAACCAATTCTAAGTCCAATGAAAGACAATCAACTGATAATATTCAGGTTTTATATGACAAATCATTCACTTACTTTACTACTAATGCTATGGACGTAGGGGACGTGAGCTTTTGAGGATTTTGTTTTATGATCGAATTTAGAAACACAACGAATATTAACATAATTAGTAGATTTTGATTAACAAAAGCACGTGCATGACTTTTTCCATGTGCACACTGCATTATTCATATTCAACCTCACACGCAATGCAAATGCATAAGATGAAAATCGAAAATGCAAACAGTTATCTGTATCGTTCCAATTTTAAACGCAAACAATTATCTTATAAGTATACATCAACTATCAACTACACACAACAACAAGGATGCCTCAATTAGGGTCTATATGAATCCTCGTTGACCAAGTCGTGACAACAACAACAGACCACTGTAATCCACAGGTGGGGTCTACGCATACCTTACCCTACCTTGAGAAGGTAGAAAGATAGTTTCTAATAGACCATCGGTTCAAGACCAAGTCACGAGGAAGCAAAACTTTTTTTGGTTTTTAATAAATTGAATTTAAGCTTAATCACTTGCCACAGAATAATGAAAGAAAAAACTGAGCTTACTTTAAGAAATATGTTAATCTCACGTTAGTTGACGAAATGAGTTGTTGTCTCCATCTAGAGCAATTCTTACCTCATTATCTAATTTTCTGTGTTGAGTTAGGCCTAAGATTCATTTCTTTATCCGGTATCGAAACAAGAACCATCCATATTTTTGGTTTACCTAATGTTGGACCCTCATGTTTTATTGTACCCGCTCCAAATGTCCAACCTGGGTATGCGCGAGCAATGTGATATCCACATATCGCTTTTGAGCAAGATTATCAATTTGCATAACAGGAACTGACATTGCGTACGGGTAAAACCTGAGCTAATGAGCACCCCGATTTTTCGGAGGGGCAAACGAAGCAAGGACATAACCACATGGAATCGAAGCTAGGAACCTCTCGTATTAGCGCCCGAGCAAAGCGCTTACCACGGGATCCATCGAGATGACGTCCCCCAAAAGCGGTTCGAGCTCCAAGACCTCGTAAAGCATTACCAGATGGTTGCACACGACTAACGAAGGGCTGAGATATCCGCGTTCAACCGTATATCACATCATGGATCTCGGCCCGTAGTAACAGATCAGTGATTAACGAAAAAGAAGGTTTTTACCTTTCTTAGAATTGTACTTAGGGTAAAACTCCCCCACTAGGGGAGGTTTATTATTCAATAGACATTTTTTGTGACACGCATATCAAGGCAATATAAACTTGTTTTCTCTCCTTCTAAGTTATTTGAAAGTTCTTATTTTGCTCATGGTTCATCACACATAATTTGACTCCGATTTCAAGACAGAACAATTGTTAAGCTTAGGTCCGAGCCCAGAGTCAACACCATAACTGGTTTGGTTATTTATTTCACCTTTAATTCGCTTATCTAACGTTATTTATCACTTGTATTAAATTAATTCACATATCCTTAAAACCGCGTACAAATTCAATTGTTATCTAATTTTTAGGGCAAATAGACATAGTTGTAGTGGTAGCAAAATGGATATAAAAAAATAGTTATCCACATATTATCCATTAAAAATGGGTTGGATAATGAATTTTTTAAAATTGGGTCAAATATGGATAAGAACCATATTATCCACTTAGAAAATGGATAACCGATGAATAACTAATGGGTTTAACTTTTACATTTGTTAAGCCTCAAATTGGGAGTTCCTCAAGTGATCATATTCAAGAAGCTATGGATAATATGAATATCTATATTTTTCGTCGGTTAACCTATTTTTTATCTGTATTAATATGGTCAGGTCGGAAATTTTTTTCACTTCTTTTAAATTTGAACACCCTTGAAAAACTTTCTAGTTTCGCCACTGGCCACCCCTACCTGTGATGATAAATCCACCTGAAAACTCAACCTGGGTCAACTAGCAGAATCATTGTAGACATGTAATATTTGACCCACGCATTAGAATCACCTCTAATAGTTCTAGTATTTTTAGGATATTTATTCGGGTTTATTTCTATAGGATTTTACTTTATTACTAATTTTAAGTCTATTTTTAAAGCACAAAAAAATCGAAAATACAAAAATAGTTTCATGTTTTATTTTATTTCTATTTAGTTTAGATTATTAATATTTTTATAGCAATATATTTTGTTTTTACTTTTATTTTTTGAATATAATAATTTACATAAAATTGATAATATATATATATATAGTACATAGTATGATATATTTTACTTTAATCATAATTAATTTTAAATTATTTTTTTATACAGAAAAGGGTGAGTTAAATTGATGGATTTAAAGGGTTATGGTCCCCAATTTTGTCCCAATTTTGGGCAAGAAGAGGCCCAAATCTGGGCAGCCCATCCTTTTCCCTTAACCCAACTGAGATCTGCCCAAATGACCCGACCCGCTCCATCTTCCTGATTAAATCGCGGTCATCCATTCACCAAATCCAACGGTCCACCTTATTTTCCCACACCCAAATACAAACTCAGTTATATCACTCCAACCCCTAACCCTAAAGACTAAACCAACCGCACCCTCTTCTCCCTCACACCTCCTGCTGCCATAACCCAACCCAAACCTCACCATAAACGAACCCTCATGGTCCCCCCTCCTCTCTTTTCTCTCTTCCACATCATCAAGACCATAACGACCTCTGTCAGAAGAAGATATTCCATTTTACCCCTTTCCACGAGCTTTTGCTTCCCTTGAATGGAATTCGGATTAATGGTAGACGTAGGATTTGAAGACTTTAAATCCTAGTCTTCCATTTGTCTTAGAACCATCCAGAAAGAAGAACAAGAGGGGATTTTCATTTGGGGGTTTGAGATTTTCGGAATTTATTGAAGGGCAAATGCGGGTTTTTGGGGGAATTTCTTGTTGAAGAAGGAGAAGCTTCAAGAGGGAGCTATATATTTGAGTCTATACAGAGATGGGGTTTTTTTTCTTTCGGAGAAAAAATGGGAAAAGAAGAAGGGCGAGGGTTTTCTGATTTTCATGTTCTTCTTTCCAATTTTCACTTCATTGGCGTACAAAAAGCTTAGAGCTCTCTATTAGTCTTTCTTTTGATTTTCAAAACAGAAAATACCAAAAAGAATATATCAGCTTCTGATTTGTTTAACAAGAAATGGAGTTTAGATGAGGTCCGTCAACTGCTCGAGAGGTATTTGTTCGTGGTTCCTGCCGCTGCTGTGTCGCTGGTTCGATTCCTATTTGTCTGCTGCTGTTACTTCAAATTTCAGTGTCGAGTTCACTTGTATTCAATTTCAAACGAACTTAATTGAAGAATTTTGCAATTTTAGGTTCACCTCTCTCCTTCCTATTCTTGTTAATGGTGATTGAAACATGATAAGAGTTGTAGGTTTGTCAAATTTGGAAAGTGTTTGAGTCGACTTAGAAAAGGCATGGGTTGAGGGAGGATTTGCACGAACATGTATGGGAGTTATACTTAAATGTTTTGGAATGCCTTTTGGCTCGGATTATTTGCCTTGTGACCTGAATGATTGATGTCCAATCGTTTGTGAAATGGTGCAGTTTAATATTTGTTCATGCTTGTCTCGATCGCTTTCATTGAATACTCGGGCTGCTGGTTTTGTTATGTGAATTAGCATATGAAAATAAGTGAATCATGCTTAGAGTCAAGTTATTCTGCCTGTCATATTGCATTTCATTCACTATGCTGCAACTTACTGTTAATTTTTCTCGTCATTGTTAGTTTTCCTGTAATTCACATGTCTGCACGCACTTAAGAGTTATTGAATGTTAATCTGACTCTAACATACACTTCAACCTAGTGAGTTTGTTGATTAATGGCATCCCTGATTTGCATATTGAGATCATTTCCTCCATGAAAGGTATTCTTGCTTGTTTCAGTCCATTAGCCTTTTTGTTTGAAAACACATGGCATTTGGTGCTTTGCTTCTTTTGTTAACTAGAAGATCGATCGCATGACTAAGGTCTAGGATGATTATTTCATTGCTCCTGAGTGTATTTTGTTGGCTTATTTGAGTTGAACCTAGATAAT